CTCTCATGTGCATCACACACACACACAGCTCTCATGTGCATCACACACACACACACAGCTCTCATGTGCATCACACACACACACACACAGCTCTCATGTGCATCACACAGCTCTCATGTGCATCACACACACACACAGCTCTCATGTGCGTCACACACACAGCTCGTACTACACCCTCTTGGAGAACTACTCGTCCCCCTGGTCTTGGGAAGGTTCGCACCCCTTGCACTATGTTTCTGAACTACACTGGCTGCCTCTGCTTCTCTCTCTTTGCCACAGACACTGGGACTGTGGCATTCTGGGCAGCCTGGGGACCAGGACTGCACAGTGTTCACTTTGTTTCCATCCTCCGGCTGTGCAGCAGGTGGCACTACCCCATCCTGTTCACCTGTCGTGTCCTTTAACCACAGTGTCTCCATGGCCGCAGCGGCTGAGCTGCTGACTGTATGCCCACTCCTCTCTGCACAGGTATGCTCAGTCATCCGCCCATCCCCATCACAGACATGGCTGAGCACATGGAGAGACTCAAAGCCAACGACAGCCTCAAGCTCTCCCAGGAGTATGAGGTGAGCTGAGGCCACTGTGGAACATTGCTTGGTGCCCCGGCCCTGGTGACCCAGCAAGACACCCCTCCCTGCCATGCCTGAACCTACCCTTTCACTGCAGTCCATCGACCCCGGGCAGCAATTCACCTGGGAGCATTCGAACCTGGAGGCCAACAAACCCAAGAACCGATACGCCAACGTCATCGCCTATGACCATTCCCGAGTCATTCTGCAACCACTAGAAGGTAGCAGGAACCTGGGCTGCACATGTGTGGTGGGCTCTGCCTGGTCTGTGTCATTAGGCATTGTCTGGGCAGCTCTAATCCCCAAGGGTCAGCTCTGGGTTGTCAACAGTTTTTAGGAGAGGTGCCATAGAGGCCGGCATATGGCAAATGGGTGGCTGACTGCCACAGTGGACCCAGTGGAGAAAGATCTGGCCCCAGATGGCTGCAGGGCTATGCAGCAGAGCCTGAGGGCCATTCCCACAGTGGCCACGGGGCATGTGTCAGACAGCAAGTTGAATAGCCCCCACAAAGGTGTCTCTTGGCCCCCTTCCCTGCTGCAGGCATCATGGGTAGTGATTATATCAATGCCAACTATGTGGATGGCTATCGGCGGCAGAACGCATACATTGCCACGCAGGGCCCCCTGCCCGAGACCTTTGGGGACTTCTGGAGGATGGTGTGGGAGCAGCGGTCTGCTACTGTGGTCATGATGACACGGCTGGAGGAGAAATCACGGGTGAGGTGCTATGGGCAAGGCTTGGCTCCGAGGCTTCCAAGGTGCGGCCTGACCTTCCTGAGCTCATTCCTTCTCTCTGATAGATCAAATGTGACCAGTATTGGCCTAACCGAGGCACCGAGACTTACGGCTTTATCCAGGTCACCCTACTAGATACCATGGAGCTGGCCACTTTCTGCGTCAGGACCTTTTCTTTACACAAGGTGTGTCCTGGGTGGAGGACGCTCCTGCGAGCCCACTTGAGCGTTGGTGAAGTCAAAGCTCAGAGTCAGCCTGGCATGAGCAGCCATAGTGGCAGCAAGGCCAGCCCAGGACCCAGCGTGGCGACATGCTACACTCTGGCCCCATGAGTAGTATACCATGGTCCTACTTGCTCTCGGTGTTGCTGTTTCTGAACTGTTGGGTTCTGCCATCTAAGAGTGATGAGAGGGACAAGGTCATCCTGTGCAGACTGACGGGGCTGCCAAGCCCCTGTAGTGGTCTTGGTGTGTGGCTATATCTGCTTGTCCCAAGTTCTGACTGCGTGCAGTCCACTGCATGTTCATTACAGAAGGGACAAGGAGCTGCACAGGTCCCACAACACCTCCCTGCAGTTGAGTGGACCCATGGCAGGAAGGAGCACTGAGCTCAGTCACACATGTAAACATTCTGACTGGGCTACCCATCTCCATGGGGCTGAGCACACAGTGTCCTGCCTCTGTGGTAGAGCACGGGAAGGAAATAGACACTGGGCAGTGAAACAGGAGCAGGCATGGGAGAGGCACAGGTCTGGGTGTCTCAAGCCAACTGGAGGAAGGCAGGGCTGGGCTGCTGGGAGCAGGGTGAGAGAGAAGTCCTTGGAGGAGCTGCAGGACCCCGGAGCAGGATGGGTGACTCCTCTGGAGTTAGGGAGGGAAAGCCGCCATGCCCCAGGATGTGTTTAGTACACTTACAGAACAGAGACACCATATCTTAGATCTTCGGTTGGTGAGATGGGGGGCAGTGTGGGTGCACTTAGCTCACAGTGACACATGCTGTCCCTCTGGTCCTCAGAATGGCTCTAGTGAGAAGCGTGAGGTGCGACATTTCCAGTTCACAGCATGGCCTGACCACGGGGTACCTGAGTACCCCACGCCCTTCCTGGCATTCCTGCGCAGAGTCAAGACCTGCAACCCACCTGATGCTGGCCCCATTGTGGTCCATTGCAGGTGTGCACAGCCCTGACCTGTCTTGTCCCTGTCTCTCCGCGTCCCTGTCCCCTGATCATGGTGTCTGTCCCCACAGTGCGGGTGTAGGGCGCACTGGCTGCTTCATCGTAATTGATGCCATGCTGGAGCGCATCAAGACGGAGAAGACGGTGGACGTGTACGGCCACGTGACACTCATGCGGTCGCAGCGCAACTACATGGTGCAGACGGAGGATCAGTACAGCTTCATCCACGAGGCACTGCTGGAGGCTGTGGGCTGTGGCAATACAGAGGTCCCCGCACGCAGCCTCTACACCTACATCCAGAAGTTGGCCCAGGTGGAGCCTGGCGAGCACATCACGGGCATGGAGCTTGAATTCAAGGTGACTGCGAGGCCATGGAAGATGGGTGGCCGTGAAAATTGACTCCCACAGTTGTCCTCTGACCTCCACATGCGCACAATAAATAAGTGTGTCAGTGATCTTGTGGCACTGACCCCAGCCCCTCTGTCCTGACCAACCACCTCCCTGCTCTCATCCCCACAGAGGCTTGCCAGCTCCAAGGCACACACTTCACGCTTCGTCACCGCCAGCCTGCCTTGCAACAAGTTTAAGAACCGCCTGGTAAACATCCTGCCATATGAGAGCTCGCGTGTCTGCCTGCAGCCCATCCGGGGTGTCGAGGGCTCTGACTACATCAACGCCAGCTTCATCGATGGCTACAGGTGCCTTGGTCCCACCCTTCAGGGGCCTACACACATACCCCAACACACACTCACGCCCACACTGTCCTCAGGTCACTGCTTTGGATAAGGTTGTCTTGGGGATGTGGGCAGTGGGCAGTTCTGTTGAGAGACCCCAAGCCTTAGCATTTGCTGGGCAGGGCTCAGCCCCACTGCATTGCAGCCCTTGGTTTTGTGACACTAGGTTTTGAATAGCCCAGCCTGGCTCTGTTGTTGTTGTTTGATTGGGGAGGGTGCATATGAGCCTGTGCATTTGTGTGTGAAAGTCCGTGTGTGTGTGTGTGTGTGTGTGTGTGTGTGTGCATGAGATCAGCTTGGGCAGTTTTCCTCAGAATCGTGGACACCGTTTAATGAGCCTGGATGTCTCACTGGCCTGAAACTTGCTAAATAGGAATGACTGTTTAGTTACTCTCTGTTGCTGTGATGAGACATGTATCCAGAACTACATTCAGAAGAGAGAGTTTATTCAGGACTCAAGGTTGTGGGGCAGGAATGTCAGTCCATGACTGTTGTGGTGGCAGGCAGGCAAGGTGCTGGAGCAGTAGCTGGGAAATTATATCTTGTCTGCAAATTAGAGGGAGGCAGGCCTGGGCCTGCTATGAACTTTTGAATCCTCAAAGCCCAACGTAGTGACGAACTGCCCCCAACAAGACCTCCTGATCCTTCCCAGTTTCACCAGCTGAGAACCAAGCACTGAGACAGAGGAGCCTGTTGGAGTGTACTCTCTCAGACACCACACTGGCTAAGCAGTGACCCCCCAGGACTGTTCTGTCTGCACATTCTGGCACTGGAGATTGAATGTACTATAAATTATTTAAATCTTGGCCCAGGGATTCTGTGCCACATTTGGTATTTAAGTTCCTGGATGAAGAAACAGCCTTTATATTTACAATTAGCCTTAAACAACACAAGAGCTGGGCAGCTGCCTACCCTCCATGCTCTTAGAATCTATTTTCCAATTGATAACCATGGTTATTAGTTACTGTCTTTCATCTGGCCTGCTCTTAGCTCCAGTTGAGCAATCCTCAGGGCTATGTTCTCTTGACTCTTAACCCATGGCAGCTTCTTCTGCCTGTGAAACTTAAACCTCGCCTATGTCTCTTCTGCCCAGCTGTTGGCTTTTGGCATCTTACTTACCAATCAGAGTCAACTTCAGGGCAGAGTCACGAGGGCTACTGCACAGGCTCCAGGTCTTGGAGGCCTAGAGTTAGCATTACAATAGACAGTAAAAGATGAAACCTCAACAATTGAACTCAAGACCTCACACTGGCAAGCCAAGCTCTCTGCCCACCGAGCCTCCTCAGTGGCCCCATGCCTGGCCTTGTCATCATGGGAGTTACAAGAGGAGCCCAGATCCCTCAGTGATAGTGAACTGAAAGCAAAGTCTCCATAGGGATCTGGAGAAGAGTTCGACGGTCACAGCACTGCTTGTTCTCGCAGAGGACCTGTTTGGTGCACTGCCCTCAAGGTGCTCCACAAAGTGGGTGACTCGAGTTTCTAGGAGACAGTGCCTTCCCATGGCCTCTGCACATGTGTTCATAGACACACACGATTCCTAAGAAGTGTACACACTGTGTGTGTGCGTGTGTGTACATATGTATGTATGTATGTATGTTGAGTTCTGGCCAGGGCAGGTGTCTGTGTCAAAGAACTCTGCATTGGCTCAGCTGAGTGTAGTCTGATGGCTTTGGAGGGTGAATGGAAGATGTGTATCTCGAAGTGTCCCCAAGGGGTTTAAATTTCTCCTGAAGGCTGAGGGACTTGGTCGGGGCACTCTGGGGAGTGGCTCTGACCCCATGCGCATGCCCCCTCCCTACTGCAGACAGCAGAAAGCCTACATTGCAACACAGGGGCCACTGGCAGAGACCACAGAGGACTTCTGGCGTGCTCTGTGGGAGAACAACTCTACTATCGTCGTAATGCTCACCAAGCTCCGAGAAATGGGCCGGGTAAGTGTGTGCATGGTGGGATGGGGGTGGGGGCATACCCAGGGCCACGGTGCTGACCCCACCCTCTGCTCCACAGGAGAAGTGCCACCAGTATTGGCCAGCTGAGCGCTCTGCCCGCTACCAGTACTTTGTGGTTGACCCAATGGCAGAGTATAACATGCCGCAGTACATTCTGCGTGAGTTTAAGGTCACAGATGCCCGGGTAAGTGCTGGCTACAGGAGGGGCTGGGGTCACTGGGAGGGTAAAATACCTAATGACTTGAGTTTGAATTTACAGCATCCAGGTTGAAAGTAGGTTTGGCTGCTGCACCTGTAGCCCTAGCCCTGTAGCCCCGAGGCAAAAGGCTAGGCAGATGTGGCTTGCTGGCTGCCAGTTCAGTGAGAAACACTATGGCAAGAGCAGAAGGTGTAGGGGAGGAAGCATGGCTGCCAGTCAATGCCAGAATTGCTGTGGGTGACAGGAGACCAGAGCCTGAACAAGATGGTGGGGGGAGGGGCTGAGGACTGATGCTCACAGAGCAACTGTGGAGGCAAGGTGGGCGGAAGCCGAGTATGGTTACAAGAGGCCTGCAGTAGGTGGTGGGGCAGCTCGGCACCCTCTGGGAGCTGTGGTGGGTTTTGATGATTACTGGGACAGGCCCGGCAGCATTGGAGGTTGTGCTGTGGCCAGCTGTGTGGGCAGCCAGCAGCAATGGAAGGTGGTATCTTGGATGACAAAGGCCCCCTGGCAATGATCACATGGTTGGTGTGGAAGACACCATTAGTGGACAGGGATGGTGATCCAGCTATCCTCCCAGGATGGCCAGTCCCGGACCGTCCGGCAGTTCCAGTTTACGGACTGGCCAGAGCAGGGTGCACCCAAGTCAGGGGAAGGCTTCATTGACTTCATTGGACAAGTGCATAAGACCAAGGAGCAGTTCGGCCAGGACGGGCCCATCTCTGTGCACTGCAGGTGAGGCCATACCTGCGTCATAACAGTCCTGGGGGCCTCGGAGAGGCCATCACCCCAGTGACTGCACACCTCCCCCCGACAGTGCTGGCGTGGGCAGGACCGGCGTGTTCATCACCCTGAGCATCGTGCTGGAGCGGATGCGCTACGAGGGCGTGGTGGACATCTTCCAGACCGTGAAGGTGCTCCGGACCCAGAGGCCTGCCATGGTGCAGACAGAGGTATGGGGTGATGGGCAACAAGTTCCTGCATGCTGAGACTTCGTTTCCTTCCTGGAAACCTGTAGGCTCTTTGTAGGTGCACCTCAAACATCACCTTTGGTTGAGGGATGAGCCAAAGCCCCTGCATGGAAACCCAGGCTCTGGCAAAGGAGCCTCTTACCCCTGCTTCACAGCCCTGCAGGTTTGGGGTCTGTCAGAGATCTTACCCTCCTGGGTTGGAAGATTGAGGCCAGCGTAGAACTGGGCTGTCTGGGAGAAGGGGCTGCAGGCTCTGAGCGAGGACTCTACTGCCACCCCCCAGGAGCACATGCCTCAGTGTCCCCTTTGCCCTGCAGGATGAGTACCAGTTCTGCTTCCAGGCGGCGTTGGAATACCTGGGCAGCTTTGACCATTATGCAACATAAGCCATGGGCCCCGCCCGACACCTCAGCCCCGTGCCAAGGGCCCCGGGTGTGATCCCAGCCCTGCTGCTGGGCAAGAGCAGCCCAGGGAGACCTCCTCTCCATGAAGACAGGCGCTGCCTTCCTCATTCCCTTCAGATTCCAAAATGAGGTTCCAGGGTGGGGGGTTGGGGTGGAGAGTAAAGGAGCCACTGCTCCCCACAGCTGGGGTCACACAGGGACGAACTCTGCCCCCGCAGTTCCCTGCTTGCCTGTCGGCAACATTTTTTTTCTTTATTTTTTTTTTAATAGTGTATATTTTTTTCTTCATCTTTTTTTTTTTTAAAGAAAAAACAAAATTGTGCCGGTCAAAACTGAAAAACAAACAAGATCACTCTTTGTGCCTCTGTGGGAGGCCTATTTTTCATAGTCAGTGTGTCATGGCGGTTCCGTGAGAGGACTTCGACAGCTTCTGTGTGTGATCTTTCCCACGTGTCCCACACTGCCCCTCATCCCCGTGTGAATGGTGCGCTTAGTTTTTCTTTTTACCATTTTTACTTTTTTTTAAAATCACTCTTCAGACATATCAGATATGGAGGATAAGGCACTGGGGGGCACTTGGGCCAGACCACAGGGACATGGCCATCGAGGACACAGTGGTCAGCCTTGCTGCCCAAGTCCCCGGCACACCAGGGAGGGTCTTTGTCCACTCATGACCTCTGTGCCCAGCATGGAGGACCCAGGACTACGGGACACTTGGGGGATATTCAACCCCCTGGAGCAAGGGAGATCTCTCTCTGTAGGAGAGTGGATCAGCACTCGTCCCCGCTGTTTTCTGGGCAGAAGCAGCAGGTGACACCCCTGTATGTAGATAAACCAACTTTGTATTAAAGAAAGATTCGTCCGATCTAGTGCGTGGACTGGTCCTTAATGCCGCCAGTGTTGGGGGAGAAGGCAGGACTAGTTGCTGGTGATCACTGGGCCCAGAGAAGAGGCACTTGGCCTCTGAGTTTGCACAGTGGCTCTGGGCTTCAGAAACAGCTTAGTGGACTCAAATATGAGGTCCTGAGTTCAAATCCTAGCACCCAGGCAAAGAGCCATGCATGGTGTTCAAATATTTGTCATCATTCCTGGGGAAGTGTGGCCAGACGTTTCTGGGGCTCACCAGCAGCAAAGCCTGTTGAGAGGCCTTGGCAACAGTGGCAGAGTTGGGGAAGGGTAGGAAGGACAAAAGGAATTAGGGTGAGCTCTGGAGTGGAGGAGACCCCTTCATAGGCTGCCAGAGCCTTGAGTTCATCCCTCTGGAGAGAGATTGAGGCTGAAGTGTCTGACCTGGAGTGGGGGGTCCGGTGAGGAACCTGCCCGGCCTCCCTTAGTCCCCGACTCTCTCTCACAGCTAGTGTGATACAGACCACCTGTTGTTGAGCTCTGTCTCCGGACTGAAGCTGGAGCTCTGTGAAATCCTCACACAGAGGCTGGATTATTATGGGGTGTGCTCTGGTGTTGTGTCTGAAGCATAAAAGATACTCAGGTTTGTCCTAACCTTGACGAGCAGCGGCAGTGTGCACTAAGTACCCTGGGCCAAGTGATTGTGCCCACTTCCTTAATGGTCTTATGTTCAGTTGGGGTTTTATTCCTTATTGAGGGTGACTGAATTCAAACCCTCCTGACTCTGCCTCCCGCAGGTGGGGCTTATCGGCACACGACACTGTACCTGGCTAAAAGTGTTTCCAGGTGACAGTGGTTTTACTCAGCAGTGACTTCGTGCCAAGGGCCCATGCATGTGCTCATACAGGAAGGACGGGAGGCCCTGGCTAACTGACCCTGCTTGTCTCCCCAGTGTTGTATTTCAAAATTAATCTTTATTTTTCCATGTGAGTGTGGCACCTGTCCGTGGTGGCCAAAAGGAGCTGGGTACCCTGGACCTGGCTTCCAGACAGTTGTGAGCAGCAGGACTCTCTCTCCCACACCCAAAGTTCAGGTCCACGGAAGCAGCCTCCACCATCACTCTGTCAAAGTCACTTTACAGGTCACAAACAAAAGTAGATTAGGGAGTCACCATAAGAGACTCAGGGGCCATACATAGCCTGGAGACAAAGCAGAGAATCTGATTCTCACTTTGCATTTCAATCAGGTGGACAAAGGGTCCAGTTCTGGCTGTCCTAACCCCGAGGCCCCTCAGAAAAGCTGGGGAATGTCTGCACCTCACAAAGGTGGCTACGTCCCTGTTTTGCCTGCCTCAGCTTCCCATCCCTTTAGCCTACTGGAGCCTAGCTGTGCTCAGCTGTAGGGTGGCCCCATCCTGACCCTGCAGCTAGAAGACAGGAGTGAGCAAGGAGAACGGCCCTGTGAATCACTGAGGGGCACCGGGACCTCATTTTGGCACAAACCTCCACAGCCCCTATGCTGTCCCTCTGTTCTGCACAGCAAAACCTCAGGCAGAAGTGGGGCCCACATCACAACTTGGCCATTAAAAGCCTACACTTCCAGAGGATGTTCCCAGCATCCACCGGAAGGCTCAGAGCACCTGAGACTTTACTTCAGGGATCTGACATCCCTGGCTTCCTAGGGTAGTGGCTCCCCTTCATAATACACCTCCACATAGACGCAAAATAAACTAGCTTTTCAAAAAAAGGATTCTCAGAAATACCTTCCCTCTATCATCGGGTGCAGGTTGACTGTAGCCCTCCCACCCCCCAGTCAGCAGCCCTCCCGACTTGGCCAGAGGACCAGCTACACTGAGATGCTCTTTAAGATGCACCTACCATTTTGTCTTTGGGGAAATTTAATAATTAGCCCAAGTATGAGTGTTGGGGATGAAGTGTTTGCTTTCTTTTTTTTTAAGATTTATTTATTTATTATATATGAATACACTGTAGCTGTCTTCAGAAAGACCAGAAGAAGGCATCAGATCTCATTACAGATGGTTGTGAGCCACCATGTGGTTGCTGGGATTTGAACTCAGGACCTCTGGAAGTGCAGTCAGTGCTCTTAACCACTGAGCCATCTCTCCAGCCCCAAGTGTTTGCTTTCAATTAGAGATGAAACCAGGAATGAAACAAACACTGGGAATGAAACCACGTGGCTAAGAACAGGATGTTGGGGTGTAATGAGAACACAGACACCAGACAAGGGGAAATGGAAGTAAAAAGGTGGTGGAAATCCTGGGAGCATGGTCAGGGTGGATCCCCACCTAGAAACCCTAGTGAGGGGCTGGAGGCATGACCAGGGCTGGGGTCGTGGCCAGGGTGAAGGCGTGGCCAGGGCTGCAGTGACACAGCCTTATGGTTGTGGATCCAGTCTGTCAGTTTACCCAACACTTCACTCGATGGCCTGGAGACCTTGCAGATGCCTTTGCATTCCTTGGCCAAACAGCACACAAGGATGATTAGTTTTCTGTAATATTTGATTCAAGTAATTAGTCCTCACATATCAGCCTTTTAGGAGAGGGAGGGAGACAGATCAATCCCTGCCATCCTCACTTGGTCTTCTAAAGACAATTAACTCCTCGTTATTAGCTTTTAATTAGCATGATTATGTCCTCATCAATACGTGTTATTGCAGCTTTTAGTAGACAGCTGTTGAGGCAGACGATATATCTGATGTTCATCCCATCCTATCCCCTCTCTCAGTCACTTCCAGTCCCATCAACAAAGACCATCCAGCCTGGCTCCTCACTGTGACCCTGCTTGCGGGATCCTCAGGACCACAAGGGGGTCCTCTGCTCCCCTGTGCTGCTGTTGTGGGAGTTTCCTTTAGACAAGCTTCAGGACTGCACAAAGAAACCCTGTCTTGAAAAGTGAGGGGGATGGAGAGGGAGAGAGAGAGACAGACAGACAGACTGACTCTGTGTCTCTGACTGGGCAAGCTGAGGCAGGAGGGTCAGATTTCATAGTAGCACGAGTGTGTATCATGGTGCTGCCCTGGGCCTGGGGAGGTCAGCCTGGCTCTTCCCAGCTCGGATGTCCCGATGTGAAGGACATTTTCCCTACTGATTCTAAGTCCTGTCACATCACCCATCATAACAAGGAAATAAATAAAACGTCCCAAAATAATCACCAAAGCCTTCGGTGCATGTGTAACATGGCTGCTTGGTCATCACTTGGTAAGGTAGACTCCCCACAGCCAGGATAAGGGTCAGGCCAGCACTCCCAGTGGAGTCCTTGTGTCATCCTGACGCAGCTGTGAACCAGTGGGAAGTCCTGGAACTACCAACTGCAGGAATGCTCCCTCAAACACACTGAAGGTTGACTTCGGATTATTCTAGAAAAAAAGGTTCTGTCACATTTTGTTGTAATCACTCAGCAGAATGCATTAGTCAAAGCTAGCAGCAAACAAAGGGTACTTGTCAGGATTTCACTCGGCTTTTCTAAAGCAACAAGATGCTATCAGACGTGCGGTAAAGGTAATTAGTGACAAAAACTGTCCATGGTTACACTCAAACAGAAAAATTCACAACTTTACTTTGTAGGAAAAATAACTACAGGGAATTCATTACCTAATGGTGAATAACAAATTATTTCAAAACCTAGTGCCTTAAACAAATATGTGGGTATTATCTCTCAAGACACTGGGCGTCAGTGGGATTCCTGGCCTCAGAATTTCTACTCAGGGTTCCCTAATATTTAAGGGAGTGATTCAGTAGTAAAACCCTACCCACAATCCCCCAGTGAGGATGGGGACAAAGGTAGAATCCCTACCTAGAATCTCCTAGTCAGGGGCTGGGGTGTGGTCAAGGTAAAGCCCTGCCTAGAATCCCCCAGTGAAGGGGCTGGGGGCGTGATCGGGCATGCTGTTACTTTATGAAATGGGGGTGGAACAATGACAATTGAGTTCACTAGTCCCCAGCTTCTTTCTGACATGGGGTGAGCTGACGCCCCTGACTAAAGTGCCCTGGCTCTTGCCTTGTTCAGATGGTTTGTTTGCTTGTTTTTAATAATCTATGTTGGACATGGCAGAGGTTTCCCATATAGACATTACTGAAGCAGAACACATGGGGTCACAATGCTCAGTTTACATGATGTGTTGTGGACTGATGTCTGCTTATACGCTGTAGGCCTAAAATTAGCCATAGGCCTAAAATCAGCAATAGGCCTGACATACATGCATGTTAACACCAAGTCTTGGGTCTCTGTGGAAAAACATTGAAACAGATGCCTAGAAGCAAACATAAACATGCAGCTTTGGTGGAAGGCTGCCAAGCCTGGGTACTCATAGACCTTGTAGATGGGTAACCTTGGAGGATAGTACCAACTTAGATAAGGACAAGTGAATCATAGGCGGAGTCATAGTGACCTGTCCCCTGAACCTTCACCCAGCTGACACTCTGTTCTGGAAGATATCTGTACTCCCCCTGAACACCTACACTCCTGCGTTATCCCCTTCCCCACATCCTGCCTTTTTGTGTTTATAACCCGTGTGTGGAAAAGTAAAACTTACGATCTGATCAGACTATAGACAGGTCATCACTTCCTTGTGTCTTTGCCTGCTTCCCCCGACTCTCTTTCAGGTGACCTCCCTGGACCCCTGTTTAATGTCCTGCTGGACAGGACATCTGTCCTGTGTGCTCTACCTACAGTCACAGAGTTGTATTTTTTTTGTTGGTGGTGTTTTGTTTCATATTTTTGAGACAGAGTTTCTCTGTGTAGGCTGTCCTGGAACTTACTCTGTAGACCAGTTGGCTTTGAACGCAAAAATCTGCCTGCCTCTGCCTCCTGAGTGCTGGGAGTAAAGTAATGGCCACCATACCCTCCAGCCTGTGGTACACAGTGTTCTGTGGGCTGCCAGCTCTGAGGCAGGAGGATGAGGTCTCAGTGCAGCCACCTGGCTGTCTCAGGACTGAGGCCTCTGACTACTTTGTGCACATGTACGCCTGTCTGTCTGTGAGTAGCTCACAGTTGAGTGTCT